TATCACATGTTTACCGACAATCTATAAAATATAATTTACATAAAAGAACATTATGATCAATGGAATCAAATGCACAAGAAAAATCAGTATAGATTACATCGACTTGTCCATTCTTATCTATTTGTTGTGAAATGAATTGACTTATTATAGCTAAATTAGTGATTGTAGATCGTCCAGGTAAAAATCCATGTTGATGTATAGAGATGAGGCTTTTAACATTGTGATAAATATTTCTATAAATGAGTATTTCAAAAATTTTAGCGAAATTCGAAAGTATAGAAATAGGCCTGTAGTTTTTTATCATAGAAGCATCACCTTTTTTGTATACGGGAGTAATTCTGGCTATCTTCCAGGTGTCTGGGAAGGTGGATGATTTTATAGCTAAGTTAAAAATTGTAGTAAGAGGTCTAGCCAATGCGAATCTTGTGTCACGTATAATAAAGCTAGGTATCAGGTCATCAGCAGCAGTTAATTTGTTAGGAAAAGATGACATAACAGACAAAACTTCATCTTCGGAGACATTTTGCATTATAAAGGAGGAATTATTTGTGACAACATCAGGAAGTGAAACATCAAGTTTGGATTTGTACATGCTTGAAAAATTTTCTGCAAATATATCTACTATTTGTTGAGGATGGTCATATTCATTTCCATTATGTGACAGTTTCCCAGGAATGCGAGTCGTACCTTTTTTTGCCTGAGCATATTTCCACATATTTTGAGGACAGGTATACAACGATTGCTCAATTGAACTAAGGTAAGCTTGATAAGCTGAACTTATTAACTGCTTGCAAATAGCCCGAAGTCTTTTAAACTCACTATGATGAAACTCACTAGATGTTTTTTTCCATTTCTTCCTATAATAATCTTTCAGTTTCAAAGTGGATATTAAATTCTTATTAAACCAAGAAGGGTACGTTGATTTAACAACATGAAACTGAGGAACAGAAGAGTGTAAGATACTATATAATTTATCGTAGAAAAGATTCACACAGGCATTCACGTCATTGGTAGAGCTTAAAGAAGACCAGTCAGTAGCAACAATATCATTATATAAATTTACGTAATTAGCTTTCCTGAAATTATATCTTAAGTTGTTACCAGATGGAAAATTACTAACTTTTCCAGAGATGGGAAATTTCACAATCATTGATAAAGAGGGATGGTGTATATCTTCTGGTACAATTGGGTAATTATCATGAGATACGTTAACTGAACCATCAAAATTTGACAAAATTAAGTCCAAAAGTCTGTTGTGGGTATTAAATATGCAATTATGCTGAATAAAATTTAGGGAACTGGAAAAAGTTGAAAATAAGTGGTTCTTGCTGCCTGGTGTACTATAAGTTAAATTATTGTTAAAATTTGCCAAGTTAAAATCTCCGATAAATAGTGTGGGCTTGTTCAATAATAATGTTTCTAGAGCTTCAAAAAATGACTCAAACTCACTACATGAGATATTTGGAGGAATATAAAGAGCTGCTAAATAAAACTGAAAAGTATTACAAAAACAATTGCATACAATCAAGTCCATGGGCGCCGGCAGGGGGGTGCAAGGGGGTGCACGTGCACCCCCCTGGCTTAGTATAAAATACACACTTTAATTTAAATCCAAATTGCAGTCTTCTAGGAAGTGGATAATAGTTTTTGAAATGGCTTCCGCATTCAGTTCTTGCAGCACATATTCTAAAAATTCTTCGCAAATTATTGAATTTTTATTATCTTGATCACAACGCAAATATCGAACTCCAATCGATAATTGTTCTGTGCCATTAATATTAGCAGTCTCATCAGCCAACACCTAAAAAACGGATGCCTGATTCACTTCCTCAATTATTTTGCTCTTCAGAACATCAGAACAAGTTTCAATCAAGTCATTTTGAATTTGATGCGATATATACAAAGAGTTTCTTTCTCCTGATTCTAAATGATTTTTTTAAATTTCATCCCCAGATTCAATTCGAAAATGGAATAAATATACTATATCCTATAATGTATGGGTGCACCCCCCTGCAAATAATCCTGCCGGCGCCCATGATCAAGTCTATAGCGGGTACTAACTCTGCAATACTCGTTGTGTCTACTACAGAATGTGTAACAGTTTTGGAAAATAAAATTAATACTACACCACCAATAATTCGATCAATTATTGAACATTTTCTATCACTTCTGATAACATTATAAAAAGATGGACATAGTTCAGAATTAAGAAACGAATCATTTAGACAAGTTTCCGTTATAATTATTACATCAAAAAAACATTCAGATACATTTTGATAAAACGATTGGAGTTTAGACCTTAATCCACGCACATTTTGGTAATATATTTCAATCGAAGCCAGTGACCTGTTAGGCGAAATTAGTTTAACGAAGAAACAATGTTAGGAATTCCATTTTTGTAATTGGTCCGCAGATTAGATTCCCCATTAGCCAGACGTTGTTGCAGTTCATTTCTAATATTACGATGGATTTCTAACTGCATGGGTGTGCGATCTTTCGACAGATAAATGTTTTTTCAGTTGTTAGAGGTCTTTAATTGTTTTGAAGCTCGTAGAACCAACATAACAGAATTTTCAGAATGCAGTGTTACTCTTATTGGGCGACGTCTATCATCTTTGGTTGCATCAAATTTTCCGAGTCTGCTAATTTTTAAATTGTTCGTATCATTAATACCCAAACTCGTCAACATATCTTTAACAAAGACCGTATCAGCATTCAACTGCTCAACATTAGTTTTATACTTTTCTTCAGTACATCCGTAAATAATTACATTATTCTTGCGTCTCTCCCTTTCCGAGACCTCATTGACAATTTTCTCGGTTTCAATCAAAGACTGAACCGGTGTGGAGACTTGAGTCTTCAAAATTTTGATTTCATCCTGCAACGCAACAATTGCAGCTTTTAAGCCGTTTATATCGTTACCTAACTGAGCACACATTTTGCACGTCCATGATAGGCCAGATTTCTGATGAATTTTTCTCGCTTCAGTATTCGTTACATCAACGCAATCTATTTTATAAGATTTGCTGCATATACAACAATTGACAATTTTATGAGGTTCAGCACTTTTGCCACAAGTACAAAGATTCATTATCTTAAATTGATACTAACTGGAAATGACAGGGACACACTTTTCACGCTAAGGGTGCCTATCGTAGCGACTTTAAAAAATAAAAAAAACACACAGGGGTGAAAAAGGCAACGGTGAGGATTGATAGAATTATGAAAACAGTAGGAGCAAATTTAAATCATGTAGTATTGTACTTGACAGCAAGAAATAAGTTGAGTGACAAGAACAAGTACTTGCAAAAAGAGTCTTAAAAAAACAAAAATAAGAAGTAGATTACCTATTAGTAGCAATTCCCAAAACACCAATCGATAGAGAACGTCATGAGCAATGCACTGATGTAAAAATTAATAATAAACTATGAAATTCTTTGATGGAAGTTACGAATTCACACAAGCACGTATCGCACAGAATTAATTGTACAACAGACACGTTATCTTAAGTTTAATACAATTTTAATACAGTTGGTTATTGGCAGTATGCAAGTAAATAAGTACCGACCTTTTCCAGTAATGCGGACGGGTTTTTCCAAGACTTCATTTATGGGCACCCCCAATTTGGCGTGTTACAGAAATTCTTCACTTAACAGCTTCTTAGCCGGATGTTGTAAATATAGATAGTTCTGCAAATGTATTTAACGAGGAGTTGGAAGAAATGGATTTGTAAGTATTTCATTTTTCGATTTCCAAATTCATTCATCATTCGTCTACGAACTTGGCGACAGCGCAGTGATATTACAAATAATTAAAAAAATTTCTTCCAAACTATTATCGCGGATTAGTCCCTAATCAGAGTTGGTTCTAGATGGAGATGGTATATACACCTGGAATACAGTAAAACTGTCTATAAAATGTCGCCAAAAGTAGAATATAAAAGCACATACATTTACAAATATGATTTCGACCTAGTTTTCAGGTAAAACAATTGTGTCTCCAACTCTTCCACAAACATCTTCTTTTTCTTCATCACTGCTTGTATATTATCCAGAAAGTCTGACATATTTTCATAAGCATTTTTCAAACAATCACGAATCGCAGTTGCAACATCCAAACAAATTTCTTCAATTACTTCGTCAATATCGTGGTTTTCTTCTCCAGTGAAAAGACGTTCCTCAAGTTTAGACGCAAATTATATATAAGAGTAATGTTTGCCAGATTTGCGATCCCTTGGATTAGAAAATTGCTGCGGCTGAAAATAGAATTTGGTTGAAAGACACAGCATACAACTTTTCTGACAATTTTGAGTAAATTGTGCCCACTACAGTCTTAAACTCGGTTCCGTTTAACAATTCCTCTACTGCTTTGTCTATGTCTTTTCTTTGTGCTGTGAGCAAGTTCAACCTCAAATCGTTGTTCTTATCAACCGAGTTTCGTAGTTCTTTCATAATCCCATTAAACAGCTTCTCAAAAACTTAATTTTCTCTAGGTTATACAACGTTGTTGTGAAGAGCATGGTGCTTCACGATTTTCATGCCGGTTTTTATTGTGAAGTCCAAAAGTAACTTGACTCGTGTTACTTTCAGTTTGGTTAACTTTGGTTAAATTCTTCAGTTCAGCAGTCAAACGAACCTCCTCGAAATACTTTTGTAACTTATCAACAACTTTAGCCAAGCGTTTAGAGATGCTTTTCACACGGGTATTTCCATGTAAGAACGCTGACAATCTTTGACAATATTCGAAAGCTGTTCCAGCAGGGGTTCGACTGACTTCATTAGTTTTGATCAAATATCGTCGATAGTAGCAGCAGCGTTTCTGCAGAGAGAGGGCAAAATGGACCATGTACATAGAAATTTCAGACAGATTAAAAATGGTTTCTAGATTTTTGGTAGGGTCCAACGCATTACTAGAGTTTTCAAAGTATTTCGAAGTTCTTTTATTAAAGGTTGAATGAACGTGGATATCGTCATTCAAACATCGAAAATGAGTAAACCAAATAACAACAACCAAAACAAAAGACATTTTATTAAAATACATCACAACAAATTCTACAATACGTTATCAATTTAACGTTGAATAAATGTATTTTGCAACTTAGATTCAACTTCCTCCTTATCATCTTCTACTGTCTCAATTGTTCTGTTATCGATTCTAAGCCCATTGATTTGACCTTGCAACATCTGCACACTATTTATCTCATTTACGGTATCTTCAACTCTCTCGATCTGTTCATCCGCGATTTTCACGGAGCGTGCAAAATATTCTTCCTCGTGTTTGGCACCTTCCACGTAGTCTTCTTTAGCTTCTTTATATTTACCCAAAGCGACGTCGTATTGATCTAAAGCCTCCTTATATTGTTCATCATCTTGACATAAAGAAGCTTTGTTGTCGAACTCCACAGCTTTGTTAAATTTCTTATCTCCACCGATCTTCAATTCGACAAGACGTAGCTTCTTCTTTGTTTCTTCACAATCAACCAATTTCATCCCCCGCTGTAACACAGATTTCGTTTTATGAAATCTTATTTTTGCTTCTTCCAATTTTCCTTTTTTCTCCGAATCCAGACCTTCCTCAAACAACATTGTCCCATACAAACGACAAACTTCATTTTCTTCTTTTCTTATATCGGTAATCGTATCAGTTTGATTTGCCGATACTTCAGCTTGACTAAGATGTTCGAGAGCGACGTCATAGATTTTTTTTTCTTTAGCTCTTTTAGCTTTTTCTATAAGTTCTTTGGCGTTTGTATCCCGCATCTGTGCTTCAGTGTTTCTAATGGTAACTTTAATTTGTTCAATTTGCTCATTTATCAGTTTTAGAGAATTAGAGAAATATTCTTTTCGGCAACCGGCACCTTCCTTATATTTTTCTTTAGCTTCTTTACATTTAGCTAAAGCTGCGACGCACTTTTTCAACGCAGAGTCATAATTTTTCTTTTTTACCTCTCTAACACCTTCATATTTTAATGTGCCAGCTTCGGCGGAACTTCTGTCTCCACTTAGCTTCAAATCTACAAGTTGCAAATTCTGCTGAAGCTCATTACTGCTCACCGATTTCTTGGCTCTTTGAAACCAGGTTTTTGCTTTTTTAAATTTACTTTCTGCTCGTTCCGAGTGTCCTTCCTTCTCTAATTCCCAACCCTCTTCAAACACCGATTTACCATACAAACTACAAACATTACGTTCTTCATTTTTGATCTTCGTAAGTGTATCCGGTTGATTTGTTAAAATTTTAGCACCCTTAAGATGTTCAAGCGCAAAGGCATACAACTTTTGCTTCGTCGCTTTTTTAGCTTCCTTTATCAATGCTTTCGCGTTTTCATTGTGTTGTTGTTTTGTAGTGTTTTCGATAGCGGCTTCTACTTGTTCGATTTTTTTATTTACGGCTTTTAAGGAATTGGAGAAATAACTTTTTCGATTTTTGGCACCTTTTAAATACATTTCTTTAACCTCTTTGTACATTGTGAGAGCCGCATGATACTTGTTCATAGCCAGTTCATATTTTTTGTTCTTACTCATCTCTATAGCTTGATTTTCCAACTTTACACCTTGGCTTAAACCCTTACAGCCATTAATTTTCAACTCGACCAGACGCAACTTCTGTCGAGTTTCACTACTGTTCACCAACCTCAGCGATCGTCGAAACAAAGATTCTGCTTTGGCAAATTTACTTTTCGCAATTTCTGAATGTTCTTTCTGTTCCCAGTCCAAACCTTCTCCGAACAGCGTCACTCCGTACAAACTACAAATCCGACTTTCCTCGTTCTTAATGTTCTCAAGTATATCCGACTGATTTGCTAATTTTTTGGCACCCTCAAGGTGTTCAAGCGCTAAATTGTATAATCGTTGCTTCATTGCTTCTTTGACTTTCTTCATCAATGCTTTAGCTTGTTGCCGTTGTGTAGTCTTTTGGATAGTGGCCTCTACTTGTTTGATCTGTTCGTTTACGACGTTAACGGAATTAGAGAAATACTTTTGTTGACCACTGTTACCTTCTAAATATGTTTCTTTAACTTCTTTGTATATAGTGAGCGCGGCAAGGTAAATATTCAAAGCCTTTTCATATTGTTTGTTCTCGTTCATCACCAAGGCTTGATTTTCTAACTCCATTGCTTGCCGCAAACTCTTATTACCATTAATTTTCAATTCGACCAGACGCAACTTCTGTTGAGTTTCCCTACTGCTTTCTAATGTCAATGATCGTCGTAGCAAGGACTCTGCTTTGTCAAATTTTTGTTGGGCCATTTGTGAGTCTTCTCTTTGTTCGTAATCCAAACCTTCTTTAAACATTGTCTCCCCATATAAACTACAAACTCGGCTTTCCTCGTTTTCAATATCGTCAAGTGTATCGGATCGAATTGCTGAGGTTTTGGCACGATCAAGGTAGACAAGAGCAAAATCGTACAAAGATTGCGACTTTGCTTTCTTAGCTTCCCGCAACAATTCTTTGGTTTCTTTATTTTTTTTCTCGTCTGTAGTGCGTTCTATAAAACCGTCAACTTGTTCGATTCGTTCTTCTGTAGCTTCCACAGAATCTGAAAAATATACATAACTAGATCTTCCACCTTCTTCAAATTTTCTTTTGGCTTCTTTATATTTGCGCAACGCTGCCTCGTACTTGTCCAACGCTGTTTCATATTCTTCGTTCGCAACCATCACAGAAGCTTCATTTTCTAATTCCGTAGCTGTATTGGTACTTCTGTTTCCACTTATCTTCAATTCGGAAAAACGTATCTTCTCCTGTGTCTCTCCACTATACACCAACTCCAACGATCGTTGGAAGAAAGACTTCGCACTCGAAAATTTACCTTCTGCTGCTTGGAAGCGTTCTGTTCTTTCCATAAATAAACCTTCTTCGAACATACTATCTCCATGCGAACTATAAACCTCACTTTCTTCACTCTTGATTTCCCTAACTATATCAGCTTTACTTGCTAAATTCTTAGCGTGACTAAGATGGTCAAGAGCTTGGTCAAACAACCGTCGTCTCATCGCCTCTCTAGCTCTCCTCAACAACTCTTCAGCTTCTTCGTTCTTGGTTTGTTCGGCAGTGTTTTCGATCGTTACAATGATCTTCTTATTGTCGAGTCTATATGACATTTTGTGTGATCTTTGGCTATGGTTGAATCGCGCGCAACATCCCACAACATATTTTAGATCTATGCGGAAAGTGTCTTCGGATTTATCTTTGAAAGTTAACGTGACAGTCACAGGGCAATGGCTTGCAGGTGAGTAGAGGTCCACGATGCGTTCTACTGATCCTTTGGCATTTATGGATAAACCGTTTAATTTGCTGCTTGGATGATTTGTGTTCTTAAAGTCGAAACTATCTAAGCCGGATACAGAAGTGTTGACGATGTCCGTGCTTGTGTCGTTGACGATTTTGATGGTCGAGGACGTGGTGCCCATTTTTGTGGAAACTGGAAGGATAAAAACTTTGTGAACGTTAATTCTAGAACTCCATTTCGAAGTTTAAGATTTAGTCTTTCGTCATCTAACTTCCTCTAGAAGATGTACAGAATCTTGTTTAAAAACAAAACCTACGGACCAACATTATACTTTTGGCACTACAGCGCGATGCTGCCTCTAAAAAAGAAGGAAATTTTGTACACTAAAATTGAATTGCTCTAAAATTATTTTATTAGACAGAATTTCCCTCGCACTTGAAGTTAAACATTCAAACAAATTCATCGTCTTAGAAAAAAAAAGTTAACGAAAATGGGATTCAAACCATGCGCTCAGAGTTCAAACTGTTCAATTTCAATGCATTAATCACTCTGGGACCTGCTTGTTTCGTATGTAAACGTGAAACCCGTGGTAAATATTATGCAGATTTCTGTAAAGTAATTGTGCTTAAACATCAAGGCGGATCCATAAACCTCAAGTTCAGGATATGATATTTTTTTTAATTTAATAGTCTTTACCAGGCAAAATGTTAGCGTGACGTCATTCAAATTGTTTGCCTACGCTCGGGAAGTAACAATTTTAAAAATGCAAAAACATTTAATATTTGCAAAGCTAAATTACAGTAACAGCTTTTATCAAAAATACAGCATGTAAAAAGACAAGTAAGAACATAATAAGTAGTTTTAAAAGTATAAAAATATTTAATATTAGTAAAAGTGGATTACAACAGAAAAGTTTTTATCAAAAATAGCACTATGCAATATGTTACGTGGAAAACACTGTCGATTTCTTTTGTTGAAAACGATGTAGCAAAAGCTTCGTTTTAGTCCATCACATTTCCGACGAAAGAAATCGACAATGTTTCCCGAGTAACGCATACAGTTCTGTTAGCGGAAAACAGTGGTGAAAACTACGTTAGGAAATCTCCATAAATAAAAGAAATACTGTTTTTTAAAAATTCATGACAAAAATTTCACCAGAGTGCTAAAAAGAAGATGACAATAAACTGCTTTAAAGAAACTGTTCTAATCTTATGTAGCGCAAGGTGTAGAAAGTTTATTATATTTAAAATTTCATAACAATAGAACATTATATCATAAAACGGAGATATTACGTTCTAAAAATATACTAAAAACCCCATGAACCAAAGGTAGGAACTCTTACAGTGTCGATTTTGTGTCGTCAACGATCTTGATGGTTGGGTGCGTGTATTAACGTTAATGGAAATTGGAAATTTTTTAGAAGCTAATCCTGGAATTTCACTTTAAATACGTTGTTTCTGTTGAGAAGTAATCTTAAGGCAGGGGCTGGTATGAATCAATAACTAAAGATTCTCTTTCAAAATAAAACCTGAGGACTACCATTACAATAGAAGAGGCGAGAATCTCATCAAATGAGAATTTTAAAAATTGACATCAAAAACACACAAAGTTTAAAAGCGTAAAAACATTTAATATAATATAATTTGGAATACAGTAAAATTGTTTATCAAATGTCATGAAAAGCAAAATACAAAAAACTTATGTTGATAACTATGATTTCAGCCTAGTTTTCAGGCAAGACAATTGTTTCTCCAACTCTTCTACAAACATCTTCTTTTTCTTCTTGACTGCCTCTATATTACCCACAACATCCGCCATATTTTCATAAACATTTTTCAAGCAGTCATGAATCGCAATTGCAACCTCCAAACAAATTTCTTCTACTACTTCGTCAATATCGTTGTTTTTTTCTCCAATGGAAAGGCGTTCCTCAAGTTTAGACGCAAAAGATGCAATAAAAGGGACAGTGTTTGTCAGATCAGCGATCCTTTGGGTTAGAAAATTGGTAGCTGATTCATCCAAGCCAGTATCTAATTGTTCAAGGATTTTGTTGGTGAAACCACGTACTCTTGTTTTGATTCCATCTTCCGCCAACATCTTTGCAACTACTGTATTAATATCGACCATAGTAGCTGTTCGAAGTTTGTTTTGTAGCGATGAATTTTGCTCCAAGAAGTTTTTCAGCGCTTGGATGATCATCTTTACCATTTGGTCTATAACCGAGATACAAATTTCTCTGATCACTACGTCCACGGTTGTGGTCAGAGTAGCGTTAATGTCAGTAAAGTCTTCTACTTCTCCAAAAACGGCAGATTTGAAGTGTGTTAGTTGTTGGTACACGTTTTCTAACAAAGGAGATACTTTCATCACCACATTGAACTCGACTTCGACCATCATTTCGCCAACATCGTTATTACAATTCCCTCCTTTCAAGCCATATTCAAGTTGGGCCGCAAAATTGTTGAATTGTTGTGTAAGTTGAAAACTGGAAGACACCAACACGACCACTGATTTACCCATTTCATCTTCCAGCAAATTTAGACATTGTGGCACGAGTTTCCTAAACAGTCTTTCAATCAAACCTTTCTTCAGAAGCTTTCTAACAGCTTCCACTATTAATTTTCTGTTCGTAGTCTCAAGTTTGAGCAACAATGATTTGCGATTCTTGATAGAACTGTTCAAACACTACTTAAACTCCTCCAAAATCGTATGGGAAATTTTCTTCCACACAAACTTCTTCGTTATGTCTAACACTTGTGGTAGACTTTTCAAGCTCTTGTTTTTCTGTCGAACAAAGTTCGTGCCGCTATTCAAAACTTCTTTTATTAAAGGTTCAACGAATTTCGACATTGCCATACAAACGTCGAAAATGATATCTTCCACGTAGTTATCTTCATTTCCAAGATGGAGACGAGCTTCAAGATCAAACACAAACTTGTCAACGTACAAAATAAACGGCGTTAAGTCGAGGCCCGCTCGAATTGCGGTAAATAACATTCGGAAGTCGTGTGTACCATTTTGGAGGCTTTCACAAAGTTGCTGAAGGAACACCAAAATCTTGTTTCTTTCGGTGTTCGTTACAATGTTCACAATTGTTACGATTCCGTCGGACGGATTTGTGCGCAACTTATTCTTCAAAGATTCGCTCGAAAAATTCCACCAGTTCGTTGGCAAGCGATTCTTCAATTTCCGTTATCAAAATGTTTTTAATTTTCTCCGTATCTATTGGCGTATCATCAAAGTTGGTAAAATTAGCTTCTTGTACAACATCGATGCTATTTTTAGTGTTTTCGTAAATCTTCTTCAGCAGAGGCGTGACGATTTTCATGATTTCGGACTCGATTTCGTCGATAATGGTGTCAACGTCGTTGTTATGTGAGCCACCAGTGAGGACATTTTCGAGAGCTTGGGCAAAAGTATATTGATAATTTCTTAAGTCGTTCAAGTGGATACTGATGTCAAAACTCAAGCTCAGGATTGCAACACCAGACTTACCGAATTCTTTCTGGAAAGAGACTAATACTTCCGGAACAAGCTTTGTCAGAAGTCTTTCAAACAAACTTTTCTTCAAAACATCGTTGAATTCTTTTTTGATAACATTGTAGTAAGATGTACGAAGTCTCTCCATTAATATTCCACGTTTCCTTATACATCTGCGAAGATTTCTTTTAAATGCTTCGGTTATCTTCGGTTGGAGTAAGTTCCAGACAAAATTGATTATTCTCGAAAATTTATCAGAAGTGCTCACACTCACACCTCCATTGTTTCGTTGATAAAACAGCTGTTCCAGGAGAGGTTCGACTGATTTCATTAGTTTTAAACAAATGTCTTCAATAATTCCATCAGTGTTGTTGTTTTCGTTTCCACCTTGTAGACGTTTTTCCAGTGAGAGCGCAAACTGGCCGATGTACACAGAAACCCCTGACATTTTAAAAATTGCTTCTAGACTTCCACTCAGTAGCTTTGTTTTTGACATACCTTCGAGTGTTTCGTACAGTTCGTAGAACAACTGTAGAATCTTGACGGTGTCATTGCTTAGAATTTCGCTTACTGTAGTATTAATTTCGTCTAAAGGCGTTGTTCGAAGTATCTCTACCAAATTCGGCAATTTCTTACACCCAGAAATGAGCATCTTGGTTATAAGTTGGAAAAACTTTCCCCGGAATTCGTACATTAAAACATCGACCATGTTCGTGGCAATGGAGGGCAATTTGTCGACAGTATCTTCAATACGAAAACTGTCCATACTCCGAACCGCCGAAACTATGTCTTGGGTTCCTGTGATGACTTTCTCTAGCAAAGGTAAAAGAAAATCCTCCATCCTTGAAGAAATCATTTCAATAATATCCTCGACTTTGTTGTCGCAGCAGCCACCACTGAGAGCTGCTTCTAAATCTGCTGCAAACTTGATACTGCATTTAACAAACTTGTAGGTACAGATGGTAACACTGAATCCAGAACTCACAATCCGACCTACGGGCATGATTTCCAACGACTTTAAAACGGCGAACGCGACCTGGAACTGTGCAATTCCATGGTCCCTTTGCAGCTGTTTAACCACAGTAAATATTGCCGCTTGCTCAGTCGTCCGAAGCTTCTCCATCAAGAATGAACGGCCTTTAATCGACTCCTTCAAGGCTCTCTTCATCTCGAATCGGAGTTTGTCGAGGATTTTTGCCGACATTTGTTCCATCACGAAATTTTCCGCAGCTGAAATGATCAGTTCTTTATTGAAACGCAGCTTTCTTGCTGTAGAAACGACCTTCTTGACGTTGTTGTAGCACTCCTTCAAAAAAGCGATCATTTTTGCTGCCGCTTTCCCGCACACTTCTTCGATAATTTGGTCGACGTTGTTGTTTGCATTTCCAACATGGTCTAGAAGCTTTTCAAGATTCGAAGCAAAGTTGTCAGCGTAGTTCTGGAAAATCTGCAAGTTGGTGATTGCTGCGGCTGAAGATAAAATTTGGTTGAAAGGCATTACATCAAACTTTTCTGACAGTTTTGAGTAGATTGTACCCACTACAGTCTTAAACTCGGTCCCGTTTAACAGTTCCTCTACTGCTTTGTCTATGTCCTTTCTTTGTGATCTTAGAAGTTTGAACCTCAAATCGTTGTTCTTATTAAGAGAGTTTCGTAGTTCTTTCATAATCCTATTAAACAGTTTCTCAAAGACTATATTTTCTAGACGTTTT